GCTCCTCCTGAATCAGAGTAAAAGCATGACCACCAAAGGAAAAACAATAGCTGCCCCTGGCTTCATACCTGCCAGGATGAATTCATCATGCTGAAAATTTCAAATAGCTGTGGATTAGCAGCCTGAGTTTATACCTGATCTGCTCTGAAATTGCTGTGGCTACAGCATTTTGATCTGGCATTACCTCCCCTACAGCTGGATTTGCTATTGAATGGTAGCCTTATATGTTTAAGAATGTTACCTTTCTACCTTAACTCCCCTTCCATGAGAAATACTTATAAAATTAAAACCAACAATCACATGTGTAATTCAGCCTTAACTCATGCTCCAAGCTACCTGTTCGTTTCAACTTAATTTTTCATGTAAATGTACCTAATTCAGTGAAAACATCACTAGCACTAGCTCCTTGTAGCCGTTTTCAGAAGAGGGGACCTGCAGCCCCATTACTAAACCTTTAGCTTGTGCATGCTCAGAAGGATTAATTTCCTCTCTGATCCCCCTCAGCATCCCGGTGCAGCATCCAGCTGACCCAAGCACACGTGGACTGTGTTAGGTGGAGAGGTGAGACAGAGCCCTGCCCACCTTAACAGCATTGCACCAGCTGGAAAACGTCTGGATTTACAGATTGAGGAAGAGCTTGTTAGTAATACACTCACAGGGACGTGAGACTTGTCTGAAATTGTGCACTTCAGCAGTTTTGAGATTTTTTTTTTTTAATAGAATGCTGCACAACATCCCATCTTAATTATTAGAACTCCAGTAGAAGCATAACAGAACTGTTGATACACAATGCAGAAAGGAGTGCAACAGGCAGGTCTACCTCCCTCAGGTCTCTGTACCTTCTCCTTCGCTCTCATACACTTGCTTAGGGTGAAGCTTTAATAGCTTTTTTCTGGACAAAGGAACGATGATATGTTGTTCATATGTTGTTCTTCTTGTTCAGCCTGGAGAAGAGGAGGCTCCGAGGAGACCTCATTGCAGCTTTCCAGTATCTGAAGGGGCTACAAGGGTCCTGGGAGAGGACTTTTTACAAGAGCCTGTAGTGACAGGACAAGGGGTAACGGGTACAAATTGAAATCAGGGAGGTTTAGATTAGATATCAGGAAGAAATTCTTCCTGGAGAGGGTGGGGAGGCACTGGGACAGGTTGCCCAGAGAAGCTGTGGATGCCCCATCCCTGGAAGTGTCCAAAGCCAGGCTGGATGAGGCTTGGAGCAACCTGGTCTAGTGGAAGGTGTCCCTGCCCATGGCAGGGGGGTTGGAACTAGATGATCTTTAAGGTCCCTTCCAACCCTAACCATTCTGTGATTCTATGTTCTCTTCTCCATCTTCTGTCAGACAGAGTACTTCCGTCATCATCCTGTCAAACAAGTCCTCTCAAACTGCAGGTGGAACCCACACTGTACAACATCCGGCGCTTTCTAATTCATGTGAAATCGAGAGGCACCGAAGACTCCGGGGCGTACAGCAGCAAAGATGCGTTGGTCTCACGACACCTGCCTGTTCAAAACCCACAAAAGCAGAAACGGGACCCGAGAGTTAGGGTGATTCAGTTTCAAGGTTGACCTACGAGTTAACTTGGGAGCAAAGCTGTGCTGCCATGCCCTCCTCACCCCGTGAGATCTGCGGGGTGTTCACCACGCACCACCCAGTGGTAGGATCCTACAGCTACAGTTTATGAGTAAATCCCGCACAGCTTTACGCAGAAATCGGATTCCCACAAAACCGATCTTTTCTCACATACTTCAAGAAAGACAAACTGAACGTTTTCATTATACTGTATAATAGAGACTGCTCACACAAAAATAAAGAACTAACTTGAGCTTAAAAATAAAAAAAGAAGTATGCACTTAATACAATCAACGCAGGTAATTATCCCCCTAAAATCTAACACATTTCTTCTGTATCCTCTGCTCCTTCCAGGACACTGTTAAATTCCCCTAATCCAGATTGCTCTCAGTAAAATGCCTTCACTTCCCAAAGGCAGAAACACAGTTCTGCCATTATTATATCTGGGAAACTGTGGCATGTATTTTGGGGTGATGTACAAGGATCAGGTATTATTGCTGTTATTCTGTAATAAATGATGGGACTTGCTAGTAAAGACAGGCTCAGACCCAATCCTCACGGCTAGGCATCCCCATATATTGTGGATGATTGGCTCAGGAATCAAATGTGAACGTTTGTGCCCATCTTTAATAATAACTTGGTATGAGAAAGATAATGTTCTGAAGCACAGTAAACTCTGTGCACAACCTAGTACAGGACCTGTTTTTGCACTTCTGGGAATACCACACTCTAGGGTTAAAAGTGAAATCGGGAATGACAGAAGAGGAATGCAGCATATTCCCCCAAATCCCAGAGCATCTATGCACCTTTCAGAAGGACAACTTCCCCCCCTCCCGATACAAAGTCACTGACAATTCACTTGATGACTGGCAGTCTACACAGAGCTAATGCCAATGGTTTCAACCCCTTAATGGCTTGAAGTACCCCTTTTGGCAGCTGTCTTACCAAGCAGCCACATTTCAAATGGGCAACAGAGAGAAGCATGTGTCTGGGCAATCCATGCACAACTCACCCTTACCAGAACACCTAGGTTGGTTTTAAACCTCAAGAAGGGATGGCATCCTCCCTAACCAACCTGAACTTGTCATCCTTTAGAGAGAGTGTTTATACCACCAGGTACTGCAACCTGAGACCACAGACGAGAAAAAAAAAAAAAAAGAATTAAATTTACTCCCGAAGAAGAGCATTCTCCCTTACTGACCCTGAAACTGCAGGCACTGAACTTTAAAACCTGGAACTTGTGGAAGAAGTTGCACACATCAGAAATGCAACACATTCGAGTCCCAGTAACAGCATGGGAAAGCTTCACTGTTTCAGTTTAGCATGACAAAGCTCCTCATCAGAGGCTCTTACAGGAAATGAACAGGATAAAAATGGAATGATACGGGAATAAGCAGTTGGCTCACATAGCCGAGAAAGGCTGCTGGCAGGATGTGCAATCATCTGCGCTGATATGTTTGTAAGTTATCTGGAAAATGAGGTGGACATCATGATGCATTTTGCAGAAAATACACAATTATTCAGGATGACCAGACTGAACTCTTCAGAGCCAGAACTACACGTGGATCTCAAAAAAATGAGTGACAAAAGGGGGAAATTAAACATTATGTGTAAACTAAAGCGCATGAAGGGGATTATTTTTCACTGTACCTACACAATGAGGAGCTCTGAAAGAACTGTTACTAAACAGGACAAGATTTTGGAAAAACTGTGCCCAGTTCTTTAAAAATAAGAGTTCAGTGATCATCCACAGTCACAAAGGAAGAGGCAATTACTTACTGGTTATTAAGGAAGGAACTAAGAACCAGAAACATTCTGCTTCATAAAATCCATGTGGCAACTGTATCTCAAAAAGAGAAACCCCAGTAACTTACTAAGATACAGAAGAAGGAGTAACGGATATGGTCTTTGGTGAACATCCGGTTTGCTGCTTTATGGCACCTGATTTTTTTCATCCATATAAACAGCGCAAAATATTTCTGCAGTCATTAAAGACAGTGCATCCATAAAAAAAAAATCAGGAACAGCAATCAGCGTATTTCAGCTGTTATCCAACAATTGTAACAATACCTGCCTTGACCTGAATTTCTTGCTAGGCTGGGCAGTCAGGTTTTGAACATCCTCCCAGCTTTCACAATCGTCACAGCTCATGCCAGTGGAGTGGCGAGAAGTTGTAGATAAGCAATATTTTGACAGTGGACAGAGGATGAGAAAGAGTACAGGCTGAAGTCTTTGCTATTGTATTAGTCTACGTAGCACAGTAGTGGCTATGGAGAAGTGCGTGCGGTCTCTGACTGGGATCTGTCTGACTAACTATCTAACGCAGACATCAGAGCAAGCTGCAAGTCGCTCCTGATGGTACAGCGAGCCTAGAGGACTTCAGTGAGTATGGTCAACGGAGATCTCGTTTCATCTAGATGTAATCCACTTTATGTCAAATGATTCACAACTTCAACTCAACAGCTCGCTCAGGTGTGCACTTCAATTACCTAAAACAGCCCCACATTAAGTGACCCAGGTGATGCTATCAGAGGAGTAAAGAAATGAGTTGCTGTATGTATGCAGTTACCATGCAGCAACACAGATGCAACCACCTCCTTGGAAGGCTGGCAGATTTGCTGGAGTTCTCTAGAAACTACCTAGGAAACACCATCATTCCTTGCCCAGTGTAGAAGCAGCAGCCGGGACCACAGGTGCAGCATCAGGAACTGAAAAAGTCCTTAACCTGGTACAAACATTCCTTAGCAACAGCTAAAAAACATCAGCGTATTAGCAATATGCTTCTCAGCACAAATCCAAAACACAGCCTCTAACCAGCTACCGTGAGGAAGATTAACTCTTGCCCAACTAAAACCAGCACAGCCAGGAAAAACAGTCTCTCCAAAAACAAACACTGACTTACCAAAAGTAACGATTCTCACGGTGATTTGCTTTTAAAATAAACAAACAAACACCAAGCCCTTTTTTTCTGTTATATTTATTGTTTGTTTGGGAGGCACAATGGAAATTTCAGTTTTCGGTCGTTTTCTTTTCCCTTGCAAAACAGCAGGGTACAGGTTACAGCCACCAATCTACAATCAGTATATACTTCAGAAGGTCTCCAATTAAATTTTCATATTTCCTGATGATAAAAGAGGCACATGTGCCAGACAGCAGCAGTAGCTGAAATAAGAATAGTCTAAGCAATATCTGCTTTAAAAGCTGCACTGGCTGTTCCTTTAAGGCAGGTTTGGTGAAAGTTTGACAGGCAATTTCCTCAGGAAATGAAAATAATTTTGCCTACAGAAATACATTAACTTTGATTGAAAAGAGGTTTTCAGATGAATACTTCATCAGTGTGAAATTATATTGATGTCATACTTCCTTTAGTTAGAAAGACATGAACAAATCTTTTTGTTCAGGATTCAGACTTCTCAGCTATTCCTTTACCTTGCAGGAATGGCAGAAAACGAAGGCAGATAGTGATGCTTTATTGTCACAGAACGCAGAATTTTCTCAGGGAATCAGTAACTGGGGCAACACTGCAGTTTGCGGAATCTCTCAGGCTGTGTTCTCAATGATAAGAGCAATACCTTGTCCACCGCCGATGCAGGCTGACCCAACCGCATATTTCCCGCCCCGACGCCTGCACAGAAAAAGTAACAGTGAAAATTGTTTACGTTTATGAAACCATCGTTGCTGTCGTCTTGATTTTATGAAAGGAAACTAGCTTTCAACTGGGTACTACTGAAGATGTTTCTAGAAAAGTATCATGAAGCCTCAACTGATGCTGAAATATTTCTGTAGCAAAGCAAGGAGTTGCAGGTCTGAGTCTTTTAGCATCTAAAAGATGGTAGGTTATATTGTTTTTAGGAATACAAAATGCCAACATTACAGGACACCTGTGCTTTCAACATGTAACAAAAACGGCTTAAGTAAAACACAGTTTTATGGCCAAAGTAGTTTTTAAAAGCTAAGTTCTCCACAGCCACACTCCAAGAAACAGTGTTCTGCAAGGTGCAAATTAACGGAGGCTTTATGGTTGAACACTAATATAGCGTTGCAAGTACAAGCAAAAAGCTAGGGTGATCTGTGCCTTGAGGCGAGGGAGAAAGAAATTTAAAATTTCAGATTGAAATGGTACTAAGCATATCAAGCAATCCAAAAGAGTCAACGTTTCTGAGAATGGATTAAAGAAGAAGGAGGGTGATGACAAGGCCTTTCAAATGGACCCTGTTAAGAAAAGAGCAGACTTGGCTCATAGGCCATTTCAATAATGCAAACTTTCCCACTGACGACTGTGGTCTTGGATCAGATCTAGGGGCAGCAAAAAATCCTGTAGTAACAACAGAATGGAGTAAGAAGCAAACAGCATGGCCTGGACTACAGCACGAAGGTAACGAACCTGCGCAGGAAGTGGTCCACTTTAGTGTGGAGAGTTTTAAGTCAGCAGACTATCAGATTTCAGTCGCACAGTATCCATACTAAAAATCTTTTGCAGGTGTACATATGTAGCACTGTCTTCACCACCAGCAGCTACCAGCTACGTACATACCTTAATTCATGAACCAGATGAGCTGTGATCCGTGATCCTGAGGCACCCAAAGGATGTCCTATAGCGATGGCACCTCCGTTGACATTGGTTTTTTCAGGGTCAAGGCCCAACACTTTTTCGACAGCCAGATACTGAGGTGCAAATGCCTCATTCACCTAAAACATCATAGAAAAACATACAACAGTTCATGGCTTATGTTCCACACAAGCCTTCAGCAGCATGTGTGCACACGAGATTAAATGAGACGTGCTTCTCTTCCAGCTCACTTTGACTGAGAAAAAAATTAAACATTGTGTTTACAAAAGTATGCTCTGATAACATACAAATTCTCAGGTCTACCCAATGTACATTCAAATCCTCCCGGCACACGTGATACAAAGCGAGCATGCAGTCTATTTTACAAAAATACGGCGTGGTAAAATGTCCTTGTTCACAAATGGAGAAGTGTGACTAACTTAAAACATGAACAGTCCAGCCAACAGAGTATAAACCTCATGTCACATGAGGATACTTTTTTCCATGGAATGCTATCACGCCATTTTCAATTTCCACATGCCTGAGATTTCTGTAATGACCGAGCAACTGTGTGGTAGAAACCAGATGGGTAGAGGTCAGACAGGCGAGCTAAGACAGGTGGGCTCCAGACCCAGAAACACCGACCTTGTGACGACAGGCTACACGTACGAGTGGAAAGCTTCTGCTAGATGAGAGTAACCTCACTGTTCATGTTAAAACTCCTTACCTCGACCAGATCCATGTCCTTCAAGGTCAATCCCGTTTTCTTCAGAACCTCAGTGATTGCAGGTACAGGGCCTATTTGTAAATTGTATGCTCAGTTAGTTAACCGTGAAATAAATAAATAAATGCATATAGACATGTTATACCTAGGACAGCTTCATAAAGCCTCATCAGGTCCCCTCCCACAAGTCTCTGTGCAGCCAATGACTTCTGCGTATGTCACTCACCTGCCTTATTAGGTGGTAAGAGAACTCCCAAATCTAAAAACTATTTGGCAGCCTTCTCAACACACTGCCAGGGAAAGTTAGGAGTGTCACTACTGCTGCACAGCTATGTTGGTAAACACACACATAGCTTTCAAGTCAAGAGAACTGACAGTCCCCAGCCAAATAAAACAACTTCATGATCGTTTTGAGGCATTCTCCTTCCCAGTACTCTTGGCTCAGCTTACTCTTTCCTCACAGCTTGCAGCCTCCAGATACAAGAAAAATTAACAGGCAGGCTGTTCTAGAGTTCACTGGTCATGTGTTTAGATATGGGTGTTGCTGTTGTCTTTATATAATTTATCTGCAAATCTTCTTCTACTCAAAAAAAGAATAATAAAATGTTCCCTTGGACCCAGGTCCCAGCCAACTGAAGACAGTAAGAATTTTTTTTTGGAGAATATTACAGAGTTTGGCAATAAAACTGTTCTCTGAAAGAAAGGTGACATCTACAACCTACTATAATCCACGGTGGGAGATTAACCTCGAAGCACAGCTATCTAAGGAAAGAGACACTCACAGAGAATTTCAAAGGGCTAATTACATACATGCTTGTAGGACAAAAATATTGAGATGTTAGACGATGGCTGATCATTAGACAAAAAGAACCCCATGCTAAAAGATTAACAATCCTAAACTGCTATCTATCTACCAAAACTGGTGTTGAAAACTCACAGCTCACAGACTAAAAATAAAAATAAGTAGATGACCAAAGAGACAGAAAAATTAAAAGAAGAAAAGGCTCAGTTCCGAGCTCAGTGGCTTATGAAAAGCGTCAGTGGCTTAATACTGGACGCTAAATGCATCTCATTAAGGATGGATTTTAGTATGCCCATTACGCCTCAGAGTAACGGGAGGTTCTCATGTGGACAACACAAAGACCATTAATGACAGCCAAGTAGACTTTTTCCCCCTCTCTCTTTTTTTAAGTAATGAATTCTCTCACTAGACACTGTGAGGCAGGACACCCTATCATTATCAGTATGTGAAAGGGCAGTTGCTCAGTCTGAGCTCCTGTTCTCAGATCTGTTGCTGTCATGTCAATGAATCTCATCTGGTCTTTTTGAGTTGCTGGGGACAAGCTGTGGTGTTAAAGAGTTAGGATACTAACTGTTTCTCCATATGATTTATGAAGTTTTTAAACAAGCTAAAAGAGTTGCCTGACCTAGAAAGAATGGACCAGTTTAGAAAGCACAATGACAGCATGAAGTCTAGCGAAAGAAACCCTCCCTCTACATTTGCTTTGAAGGTTGTGTTAGTCAGATAGTCTGATCAAGAAAACAAATCTGACAATGCTTCATTTGCATTTCTACTGACACATGAAACCAGTCAACAATGACCTCTCTGAACAGAATGGCAGAAAGGAAAAGCGATGCTGGGATACAATGCTGTCTACAAACTAAACAGAAGGGAAAAATCCTGGGGTGTCTGGACTGGCTTTGACGGTTTGTTTGCATTAAGAGCTACTTGATTAGGAAGCATAAAATACAGGTCTAACAAAAAAACAGAGGAGTAGTTGGTTTGCCAAAGTAAGACCTGAACAGATGTGTACCCTGGAAGCCAATCTTTGCTTGAGCAACAGAGAAATGGCTGAAAGGGGTACACAGAGCCAATACTCTTCCAGCAGGAAGTGAGGAAGACAACTCATAGTCACACATTTATGGAATTTAAAGCTGACAGGAAACCAAAGTGAATTTCAGGAGAAAACTAAGAAAAAAAAAAAAGTGCCTATTTTCTACAGTTACTAACACAAAGAGTAAAAAAGGGGGAGAAGAAAGGGTGCCTGGGGGACTACAGCTCAGTGCTGATGCTACGGGTCAGGCACCGCAGATTCTCTTATAGCCACACTGAGGAGTCAGTCCCTCGGCACAAGAGGGGTGTACTGACGCAGTGCAATGAAAAAGTCTCTCTGGAGGAAGCCACACAAATGTCTTTGGAGCTACCAGACCTGGCACACTGCAGCTTCCCTTTCTTTCCTTCAGAATGCCCAACATGAGAATATTTTAATGCTGCTTGATGCTATAAAATCACGTGCTTTATTGCAACTTACCAATGCCCATTATGGAGGGGTCACAGCCAGCTGAGTGATAGGCTACTACCCTGGCCAGAGGAGTAAGACTGTGCTTTTTAAGGGCTGATTCACTGGCAATGATGACTGCACCAGCTCCATCGCACACCCCCTTGCAGTAAGAGAGAAAAGCATTCTTAGTGAAAAAAATACAAACAAAAACACCCCACACTTTAAATTAAATATGCGTCTCAGAGAAAGCTTGAATCCAAGACATCATTATTAACATGTAACAATCGTATAAGTGTTTATTCAAAACAGCAAACCACTATCTTCCACTATCCTGTGGCCTGTGGAAGAAAAGTTAAATATAGGTATTTCATTAATTTCAATGTTTTAGAAAAGTAAAATACATTTTTGCCACTCGAAGTCTCCCTTACACTGGAAACAACATTCTGTTGGGTTGCAAGGACACTGTTAATATTGGGTAACATATGTACTATTAATAATGAAAGACACTTCACAGACACCCCTACTTACTGTGGCTATGACCTATTTTTAGGCAGGAATTCAGATTATATGATCACAGTGGCTCTCCTGACCCAAAGAACATTAATCGATTAAGATAATGACTGTAAGTGGAACAGTCTGTAATGACATGCTGCTAAGCACCCAGTCTACTCTGGATAAGACCCAAGTGTTGTTTGAACTACAGGGGATACTAATTGTGGCACAAAGATGAGCAGCAGCAGCATGCCCACTGATATAATGCCTGATTTGTAAAGCAAATGTTCAGTAATCGTTGCCCTCAAAAGACAGTAGAATGGCTAATTCTACATAGCCGCTGCAGGTATCAGCTGCATAATTTGAGGATGATGAGGAAGTGTCAGTGGCTCACTAAAAAAACCAGTGACGATACACAGAACCACATTTTAGGACGTAGGAGCAGACTGAAGATCCCCCGCCATCTTGTGCTGGAACAGCCAACCAGGGGCATTCAGTCGCAAAATTAGAAATAATTTTTCATCAGAAGACATCGCTGACAGCCAGAAGTGGCTGAGTGAGACATAAATACAGTGACTATAAATTTGGAGAACCTCAGGGGTGACACTTTCACAACCCAAGGCTTTGACGTACTCACTGAAGCATTCCCAGCAGTCACTGTTCCATCCTTCTTGAAGAGAGACGGGAGTTTTGCCAATTGCTCCAGAGTAGTCTGGGGTTTTGGGTGCTCGTCCTTTTGCATATTTTCTTTCCCCTTTTTTGTTTTCACTTCAATTGGTGCCATCTCAGCATTAAAGTAACCAGCATCTTGAGCTGCAACCACAAAAAGGAAAATAAAAGGACTGATAAAAATATGAAGATGATTGCGCAGCATGACCAATAATCTTGTTTTCCTGTGCACACAACTTTTGCTCTATTTCAACCAAGAGTTCAGGGACAGTGCTGTCTATGCTTAATTTTGTTTAAATAGGCTGTTTGGTGCTTACTGTTTGGGGTGGTTTTGGGGTGGGGCTTTTTTTTTTTGTTTGTTTGTTTGTTTTTTGTTTTAGAAACTTGGCTAAAACTCTACAAATACATTCTCAAACTTATCCTAAGTTTCAAATATTAAAGTGTTATTTCAGCTTTAAATAACTGAACTTTCTTGTTTGGTTGGTTTTTATTGACCACTAGACATATTTTTAGTACACATCCCCCCGTACTGTTGGTTTATTTTACAGCTCTGTCACTGATCAGAGGGACAAGAAGCTAGAAGTCTCACTCAAAGAGGAACGTGGATAAAAATCCTGACCCTCGTTTTCTCTGTTGATAACCAGCATACGCTACTGTACATCAATTAAAATCCTGACCAAGCTGCTCCTCCACTGGATCTCACAGTCAAGTCACGATCTCAGAACGGGATTCAGCTGCCTAAACAACCTGAGACAATTCAAGACATTGTAGGCATCTCAGATGCCCATAAGAGCATCCGGCCACATCACCTAAGATGACATCAGACACCAACATTCAGGCAACTAAACGCTACCTTTTGTGTCCACAGTGTTGATGTGAGCACACAGATTTAAAGCTGAAACAACTTCCATCTCTTACAACCGTACCAAGATTCCCAGCCACTTCAAATTGTCCCACAAATGCAACTCTAAGGGATTTAAAACTAAGACAGGGAGACTGCCGTATCTGATGGGTTTTACTACCTCTGAACTTCTCAATAAATTTTACAAAATCTTTTTCTTTCCTGATTAGCCGCAGGACTCTCTCTTTACAGTGGAATCTGGTTGTAACAAGCAGACATACAAACAGCACGGCAAAATGCTAGAAGACAAGAAAGCAGCACAAGCCTCGTCAGGGGCACAGTTTCTAGCAAAGGCTCCAGGAACAGCAGGAGACAGCTAACAAGATCAGCAGGGAAGGTAACACACGACTGAGAAAATTTCACAGTAATCCAATATCCCTGAATTATGACTTTGGCCATGTAAAGCCCCCAGAGAATAAACACAGGTCCTGAACAGGTATCCCCTCTCCAGGTTCCGTAAGCTCGAACTGTTCAAGGATTGTAGGGTAGCATATGATTTCCAGAAGAAAGAAAAAGGATTTAGATCAATTAAAAGACATGCTGGCATGCAAGAAGGATGTGGGTCGCTGCGGGAGAGGACTGCTCTGCAGTGAAGCAGAAAGAAAGGAGTCAGTCACGCCTGGGACAACGCTGCTCTGCCGCAGGCAAGACAAGGGCAGGGCATCACACCTCGACGCACGAGCGACACGAAACCTAAAAATACTTTGAATCAGCGCTAAAAACTGACTAGATTTGAAACCGGTATCACATAAAGACTTTCATTCCTAAATTTACGAACCAGCTTTGCATCTTTGTTGTGTTTTGAATGCGTATCGGTCACAGTCCTCTCGTGTGATGTTGTATTTTGCAGCCAGATTTTCAGCTGTAACTGCCATTGGTGTTTTAACATGCGTATCTGTTAGACCTTCCCACAACGTGTCTTCCAACTGCATGGAACATTATGAAAAGAAAATTATAAAGCACAGCAATATTAGCATTTATTATTCACAGTTTCTGATTATTCAGCAGCCTGCTGAAAACGAACGTTTCTTTGTAAAATTAACTCAGGTTACCTCTAGATACTTCATTTAAATTAGAACAAACACACTGCAAAATATTATGCAAGTTCTGGTGTGTTATTTTAGTTAATCTACGTTGTGCTCTAGCGTGGTTCCTTCCACTCATATGTGGCTCTGACAGGTTTGGGAAAAAAACATGATTCTTAACATTTCAGCATATTTTACTACTGCATGAATTACAGAGACCTATGAAAAAACACATCTGTCTTCTGCTTACCAAGAAGGAACGGTGAGGAACAGGAAAAAGGCAGAGCAGCCTACTGATACTTTGGTTCCTTCTCTACTGTCAGGTAAAATCACCTCACCCGAGTCAAAGGTTTCCCTGGGCAAAACATCCCAGGTGAGAAAAATCATAGAATCATAAAATCACAGAATGGTTAAGGCTGGAAGGGAAAATCTCCCTCGTTGTTTAAACCCATTACCCCTTGTC